AGGGAGGCGGGCGCCCAGCCCAGCCCGGCCCGGGGAGGGGGCTGCGGACGGCTCGGCAGTGCCCTGCCCCGGCCCAGGGGACCCCTCGTCCCCACCCCCTGCTCCCTGCATCCCAGTCTGGGGTCCGGGGGCAGCCCCCGGCCGTGGAGCCGGCCCCTCTAAATCACCCAGCCGAGATGCAGAGCCCCCGCTACGTGCCTCAGTTTTACCCACTTGTGAAATGGGCATATCGCCAGCCAGGTACCCCCGGGGGACCCAGATTCCCCTCTACATTCCTCACTTTTCCCCAACTGAGAAATGGGCGTGTAGCCAGCCAGATGCTCCAAGGACCCCCACAGGTTCCCTGCTACGTGCCTCAGCTTTTCCTGCCTGTAAAATGGGCATATCACCAGCAAGGTGTCCCAAAGGACTGATAGATTCCCTCCTACATTCCTTAGTTTTCCCTGCCTGTGAAATGGGCATATCACCAGCCAGCTGCTCCAAGGTCCCTACTATATGCCTCAGTTTTCCCCACCTGTAAAATGGGGAAATAACCAGCCAGATGCTCCAAGGGCCCCACAGATTCGCTGCTACGGGCCTCAGTTTTCCCTGCCTGTGAAATAGGCATATCACCACCCAGGTGTCCCAAGGGACCCGCACATGCTCTGCTACGTGCTTCGGTTTTCCCCACCTGCAAAAGGGGCGTATCACCAGCCAGATGCTCCAAGAGGCCCACAAATTCCCCACCACATGCCTCAGTTTTCCCCATCTGCAAAACAGGGAAATAACCAGCCAGATGCTCCAAGGGCCCCGCAGATTCTCTGCTACGTGCCTCAGTTTCCCCGCCTGTGAAATGGGGATATAGCCAGCAGCGCGGGGGCAGGGGGCGCTGCCGGGATAAGGCTTTCGCACCCACGCACAGCCCCTGGCTTCACTGCGGATCCAGGGGCCCCTCCCCTGCCACCTACCCCTGCGCAGACGCTCTCAGGGGCCACTCCTCGCCCTGGTCCCGATGGGGCCACGGCGCAGCGACAGCATCTCCGGGCAGCCGGCAGCTCTGCCCCC